AAAAACAGCAAAAGAGGTGCAACAGCGCTCATATACAACAGAGCTTCTATTAAAAAAAAAATACAGATAATAAAGAAATGTGGCACAGTGGAGTGGAGTCTTATTATTTTTTGTATGCAAATAGCCTTAAAAAGTATACACTGAGTGGCCAGATTATTATGACCACCCCATCAGTACTTCGTTGGGCCACGAGATGACTCCAAGAGATGACTTAGTTGGGCCAAGAGATGTCTCCACGAGATGTTGAAAGGTGATGCGAGGACACTGCACCTTTGCCCTTCTGTTATCTTGTACCAGTCTTGCCACTCTCTGTTCTGCCCTAACATTGACTAGCCGCTGACGGCCACAATTCGCACGTTCAGACCCCGATTTTTGGCTGACAGTCCAGTCTTTAAACACTTTAACAACAGCTGCTCTTGAACATTCAATGAATTCTGCTGTTTAGCTGATACTCGCTCCATGGCTCCGAGCGCCAACAATCATCCCACGTTCAAAGGCTGTTAAATCGCGTTGTTTACCCATATCTTCAGAAAAAAAATCACTTCTACTGTCGTGGTAAACAACCTGCTTCCCTATTTATAATGGTCTGGCCCTCTAGCAAATTCAGCACGAAAGTATAGCTAATTATAGCTAATTTGCCTACAAACGTCAGGTGGTCATAATAATCTGGCCACTCAGTGTACAATGTATGCAGTAGAGCAGCACATTTACATTTTACACTTGTAGTTAAAAAATGAGGACACAGCTCACAGTAAGTACAGATACAGTTCACAAAAGGATATCTAACACCGCTGATAAAAGGAAGCATTAGGTGTAAAGGGGGTTTTGCGGCATCAATTAATTCAGTAGAAAACCCCTTTATTGTGGCCATTGTGACTGGCAGAGGTAGTGAAAATCCTGTGTCTGCTGACCAACTGAAAAAAGCTGAGCAGATACAAACACTGTGCTCCTGAGCTGGATGTTAGATTTGCTCAAAAAAAAAAAAGGCTGGAATGGTTCTACTCCTAACTCCTACAGAGTTTTTCCACTCAGGAGCCTAAAACTGTAAAGCCCTTGTGGAGAACATCAATAGAATTTAACAACCGTTGCCAAATATTAAAATTGAACTTCAGGCAAATATACTGTGCAGTTTAAATATAGTTTTACCTACTAAAGAATTTGTAATTTTTTTCAGCCAATCTTATAATTCACTCAGCACTGACACAGTGCTTATTCACTGTCCAATGAACTGGCTTAAACAAGAAACTTGTGATCCCTAGGGGTTCACAATAAAAATAGCTTGAATAATGATCATATATTGTAATTTCTAATAAAAACACACTAAGGAATTACTGAACAGATCTTAAAGTGATGAAGCAAACAGGTTTTCATTCAATCATCACTTCACATTGATAATAAATACTACTTGAATGATACATTATAAATAGGTTAAATATAAAATATTTATTTATCCCATAAAGGCTGCAGGCAATACGCAATCTTTCTGCTTCTTCTTTTACGAACAAACTGTTGCTAATTACTTTTGTGAAGCTGAAATTCGGCCAAAGACAATTTTTTGGAAATTTGAACTGTAAAAATATATTGCCACTAATGAAGTGTGATCAATGTCTGGCTGCTGCTGCGTTTTGAAAAACTCATACTTTCATTCAGCCTGTACAGTACAGTAAGAACGTCTGGTGCAGAGACTTACACAACTGGTTGTGTTGCCCATTCTGCTTCTCCTCCATTCACAGCATGCAAAGCACTCTGTGATTGAAGGAGGGGAGATTATGATGTTTATTCATACTTCCACCAATAATAGAAATGTATAAATATACTTTATGGTGTCAGGTTTTTGGACTATTTTGTAAGTAGAAAAGGAGTCTTCATACTACATTATCCCTAGAAAAAGCAGTTGGCTACAAAATTGGCATATTTTGTCAGAACAAAGACCAACTAGCATAGAGAACCCAAACAACTTGGAGCCAGCTCTTTTCTCTGGTGGTACCAGTTCCACATGCTGCTACAGGCACATATTCCTTGTTTGACTTGTTTTTCTGCCTGACTATTATTATTATTCAGGATTTATATAGCGCCAACAGTTTGTGCAGAGCTTTACAAAACTGAGGGAGACAATACAATTAGCAATACAATTTCAGTACAGGAGGTAGGAGGGCCCTGCTTGTGAGAGCTTACAATCTAGTACGAGGACCAAGTGATACAAAAGGTAATAACTGTTTGGAATTATTTAGATCTGAAAGTACTGGTAGAATAGGCCTCCCTGAAGAGATGAGTTTTCAAGAATCGCTTAAAGGTGGACAGAGTAGGAGACAGGCAGACAGATTGGGGGTAAGGAGTTCCAGAGGATGGGAGACCCTCTTGAAACAACCTGGAGACAAGCATGCACGAAGGTGACAAGAGAGCTGTAGAGCAGGAGGTCTTGGGAAGAGAGAAGGAGGCGGTTTGGGTGATTGTTTGAGAATTAGGTGGTCGATGTAGGTTAGGGCGGAGTTGTTCATGGCTTTTTAGGCTATTGGTACTTTTAATTCTATACGTTGGGGAAGTGGGAGCCAGTGGAGCAATTGGCAGAGAGGGGTGGCAGACACTGACCAGTTGGTAAGGTGGATGAGTCTGGCAGCAGTGTTAATGATGGACTAAAGGGGGGATAGCCTGCTTAGTGGTAGGCCAACAAAGAGGGAGTCACAGTAGTCAAGATGAGATATTACAAGAGAGTGAATTAGAAGCTTTGTTGTATCATGTGTTAAGAAGAGACTAATTTTGGAAATGTTACTGAGGTTGAGTCGGCAAGATTTGGATAGTGATTGGATGTGGGGCTGAAAGGAGAGCTCAGAATCAAAGATAACACCAAGCACCCTGGCTTGACAGGAGGGGTTGATTGTAGTGCTGTTGATTGTGATGGAGAAGTCGGGGGAGGGCACGCAGAGAGGAGGAAATATTATAAGCTCAGATTTGGACAGATTTAGTTTGAGGAAGTGGTGTGACATCCATGTAGATATGTCAGTGAGTAGGTTAGTGATGCGTGAGGAGATAGAAGGGGTGAGCTGAGGGGAGAGATATATTTGGGTGTCGTCAGCATATAGATGGTATTGGAAGCCATGGGAAGTTATTAACTGACCCAGGGAGGAGGTGTAGATAGATAATAGCCTTGGGGGACCCCCACAGATAGAGAAAGAGGAGAGGAGGAAGTTCTCTGTTTTCTCATGGTTCACCTCCTACGTATCCCAGTGCACCTTCAGTGTCACCTATGACTCTTTATAGGTGACACTGAAGGTGCACTGGGATAAGTAGGAGGTGAACCATGAGAGAACAGAGCTTTGGAGGCCAAAGTTTATTGAGGAGGAGTGGGTGGTCAACTATCAAAAGCAGCAGAAAGGTCCAGGAGTATGAGTATAGAGTCGTGACCATTGGCTTTAGCCGTTAATGAATCATTAGTAAGTTTTAGATAAGTTTCTGTGGAGCGGAAGAAAGCCAGATTGAAAAACTAATTTGCCTACCTACATAAGTTTTACATCCTGTTCAGTTTTTCATATGCATTTTGTTTTTTACATATTCAATCAGTTAAAGATTTTTCAAAAAGATGTGAGTAATATTTTTACTACTGTAATAGTACCTGATATTTCTTAGAAAGTTCAGCTTCCTTCTTCTTAATGTGTTTTAAAATAACTTATTTTATATTTAAATAGAGACAGACAAACTTCCTTGTTAAATAAATAAGTGCTATTCTGCTTTTTTTCTCTTTGCCACAGTGCACATCTAAGTCACATCATTGCTGTACCATGCGTTCTGGTGCGGACAATCTCACTGTGGGCGGGTTGGGCATGTCTGCAGTGTCATTTACTTGAATGGGACTGCCATGCACCCTCCCACCCCAGTACGCAGGGAGGCTTGCTGTATGCGATCCAGTGCGTTCCGGCCCCTAAGTGTGCTGGAATGCACTGGATTGTGTGAACAAGCTCTAAATATAATGGATCCCAACACAAATGGCTGCCTGGTACAGGTAACACCTGCATACAGGTATAGAGATCTATTATATGTGATCTATAATATATACCACAGGCTGTGTGCAAAGATCTATTAAACAAGTCTGCCTGTAGCACACACTGCATTTGCAGTGATCTTTCAGTGCTCCAGTCCACAGGACCCCATTCCCCACTGCTCTGCCCAGTCCCTTACCTTCAGCAGACAGCAGCTGAGCTCCCTGGGCTGCCGCTGGTCAGGTCCCTGGGGGTCTTTCTTTCATTCTCCGGCCATCCATTTCCACGGCTTTGCTCTTGAATGCCTGAGAGCAGAAGACGGTCCCCGCCCCCAGCCTGTCAGCAGTGAGTATTCTTCTGCTCATTCCTTCGGCTGCTGCTGCTGTACACCCCTGCGTGCATTATCCAAGCTGGATGTCCCCTAGGATTATAGGAGAGGGGAAACGGGTCACTTCACTGGTTTTGGGGCGGCATTTTTGCCGCTCCCGATTAAAGTGCCGCCCAAAGCAAACGCCCCTGGTTTCAGCTCTGATATTAAATCAATGTTTGCCATCATGGTAGGATCATAAAACAGGGCTACAGTAAACAGCCAGCAATAAATACAAGATTTTGCAAGTAGTGATTCTATGTGTGCCATTT